GGGGGGGGGGGGGGTATATCCCTCAAATCATGCCACATATGTTCCCTTCTCTCTGCCTACACAGTGACGATCAGCCGCAGTAATCACTTTATTTTGAAATAAGAAAAGAAAAATCCCCCCCCCCCCCACCCAACCTCTGTTCATTGATTTTAATGGCTGATTCATTATCCCTTCCTGTTCTAATGCAAACCCACTGAAAGTGATGGCTTAGAGCACTGTGGTCCAATAAATGGGTGCAAATACATGCTAAGTGACAAATGATCAGATTTATCTGCTCATGTTTAGCTCATTACTGCTATCCTACCCCTGTTCTCAGTACAGTGATGGATGGGTGTTGTCCCCCAGTGAAGGATTGCTGTACTTTCTATTGATTCTTGGGTATTTGATAATGTTAGAGAAAATCATAGTGAAAAGCTTGAATATGACTTTTTTTCTGCTGAGGCAATCGTAAGAAAGTCGATTACTATACTCTTCATAGATTTCTTGAGTCTCTGGAAAATTTGTGAATTATTTTGTTTCTAAGAAGCATGTTTGTTACTGTGATTCTGTTTAATAAAATACATTGCAACATTTTGGATAAAATTCTGTAATATTCATACTACTTATCATATTGTCAGTTTGATCACTGTGTTTTGTCTGATTTCAGTCATTTGTGTTCATAGCAAGGTTTGCTCTCTGTACTGGACTGCTAGGCAAGAAAACCAGCATTCCTTTGCATGAGCGTGGTCTTAAGGGTCTTTCTAGGCAATTAAAACCTTTGAGTTTCAGCCAAATGTTATATGAATTTTGATGAATTTGTGTCCGCCTTGCAGGCATTTACTTTCACATGGGAAATATTCCACCCAGATTTCTCCTAAAATGGCCACTTAAAATACCATTATTCTACTTCTGGCGAGATAAGACCATCCAGACTGATGAATTGTTTTTTGGTTTCTTTAAACCTGCTCTTTTAATTTCCACTTACAACCTCTGAAAAATTATCTTTTGAATATTTTTTTGTTTGGAGATAAATGCATCTATTAATGGATTTTCAGGCAAGGGGTTTGGTTATCATCATGATTGCTTTTTTGCTGATCACTAAATCCTCTCCATATTGTAACTGAAAAGTAAGTGGTAGAGCAGCAAAGGTTTTGTGTAGAAAGCAACTATGTATGGACCAGTTACTCATACATACATGGAATGCAATTTTACCAGTAAGCTAACTGGAATAATCAGCACTTATAAGAAGAATCTCATGGTTGCACTGTCAGGGCTAATTATCACTGTATGGTTTAATAGGGGTGTGATTCAACTGTCAAAATTCTGATAGAAGACTACAATTTTGTTAGTTAGATTTATAGGAAATAGAGATGAAATGAAATGATGATAACTACGTTAGAATGAATACTGATGATGCAAAGCATGACACAACAACTATAATTTTGACAATTTTTCAAAGCTTTATTGATGGAAATGTTTTTATCAGCCACAAAGATGGAAAATTGATTTGTCTTCATTAAAACCATATTTTCCTCATGGTAAATTGTGCACGCAGATGCTGAAAAGAAGATGAGATAAGGCTTTTTATTATCCTGCTTCTATTTTTCTCCCGTAAAAAGTGAAATAAATCATTTCTTGAAGAAATTGAATGCAGGATAATACCCTCCTATTGACTGACAACACAACGTTATTGGACATTTCATCCGTAATGTTTGTCTACTTCCTCATTTCTCTTGTTGACTGGGAAACCGCATTTGTTCATTACCATGTGAAATCGACACGCATCAGAAGAAATTGACGACTGATGAAACTGACATCATGTGAAATGAACGTGAAATGAGTACGAGATCCATTCATCCCGTTTTTCCTTCCTTTGTCTCAGACTTGGCCTGACCTTAATACGGAGATAATATCTCCCCGTTTTTCTCTCCAATTATCCCATATTGATTTACAAGGGCATTAAATTGCTTTTGGTTTAACCCTAGAAACAAATGTTATAGATAATAGTAGGAGGTTCTGTTTGTTAGGAAAACAATAGAAAGTGTTTGCTTGCTTCTTAACGAACTCCCTATAGTGTGTTGGTGTGGAGACATCAGATGGCAGTATGTTTGATCAGACAATTACAACCTCGATATTTTTGGTAATTGTAGAGGAAATGCAAAAGTACGATGCCTGTAAGACAAAATTGTAGAACTTATTTTTGTGTTGGGAGATGCCAGAGGGGTGAACATCATGATGAAAAAAAAAATTTAAAACACAACTACACAAGCACCTACTATAGTTAACATATATATAAGGGTGACTGTTAAGATTAAAAATATTTTGATAACTTGAAATTAAAAATATTGCGGTGATTACTCAAAAGAAGTCTACTTTCTAGTGAAATCATAAGTTGAAGTATTGAGGATTAGAATGGCTGAATATGGTCTACAAACACACATCACTTCACAGTATTTGAAACCACTCATATTTTCAGTGATTCACCACCTCGTTAATTAGACTTCAGAATTTTCATTCCTCTCATCGCTAATTCCCAGTCTGTGGAGATGGCTGAGTCACCACATCTAGTTCTGTAGCTCACTACATGAATTGATCAGACAATTTTTGCTACATGTTATCCATAGAAAGGTCCTAATTATAGAGAAAAATTGCCTGGAAGTTGTATGCATAGGATACAGAAATATTGGCCTGTGTAGAGTGAATGGAAGCTTTCATAAAACATGACAATTAATTACTTGCAAATTTCAACGACTACTGTGAACAGAATACATAAGCAGATAATGCTGTTAATTATGTTTAATATGCATTAAGTCACGTGGCAGCAAAAGAAAGAATTGTGCATTAGATGATAAAAATGCTTGCATTTTTATGGAAAATTGTATGATTGAAAAGATTATGTAGAAAGTTATGATTGTGAATTCTATACACTAGTTGTCAAAGGGTATTTGTACTATATAAAATATTACCTGTTTAAAGGACTGCAATAGACTTAATATCAAAATGCATAAATCTTGAAACAGCATTGCAATAAAGTCTTGTCCACATCTTGATATTATTTCTCCATATTTTGGAGTTAAATTTCTACCAATAATGAATAAGTATAAGATGTCATCGTTCTCTCCACTTCTAGGTTTTCACTTCTTGCGGCCAGCCACGTTTCAAGGGACGCAGGAAGAGAAAGGCGGATTACGAGGAATATGCCTACGGGAACTGGCGTTACCAGCCAACAGGCAATGGCGGCATGGCACGTCCCACGACAGCGGCAGGAACCAATCTTGAACGCCTGGTGTCAGACATAGTGAAGCAAGTGGAAGTGACAAAGGATTTCTGGACTCTTCTCCCCTACACGCTATGTAACCATGACCAGTTTGCTTTCGTCGCCAGGAATGGAACCGAGGGAAATTGTTGGAATGGCGAACACCAGGGAAGGTAGGAAGGGCACTAAGAGTACATTAACTTTATAAAAATAATTTTTTAAAGTAAGGAATTAAATTTTGCACAGTGTGTGAGTTCATTTTCAGGAGAATGATTTTATTTTGTTTAAAATTAGAATGTTGGAAAGTTGCTGTTCAGTTGATTTAAAAACTGCATTCAAGGTATGCATTACTCCTTGGTGAAATCTCTGCCAAATAAATGATCTCAGTGCACATATTCAAATCGGATGTTCCTATTATCTCTGCCAAGGACAAAATTTTCATGGCTTTCCCCCCTCTCTCCAGGTATCCCCATGACGTGGTACAAGATGGTATCAAGGCACAGGCGCACAACCCAGAGGTTACCGTGGATACCAGGCGACACAACATGATAGTCCAGCAGCAAATACTGCGCCTAAAACTAATCCACACCAAACTGAGCAACGCCCACCTTGGCCTTGACGTGGACTGGATGGATATGGGTAAGACTGGAAGGCTTAGATATTTGGAGAATATTTACAGTAGCTTTATTATTGTTGAAAATTTTATATTCACTTACAGAGTGAGTAGGTGAAAACTGTAACAGTTCTGTACTTATTATTTCCGTATTTGGAAAATATCAAGTAACATGTGACTGTATTTGAAACGCCCGAGGAAAAGGTGAACATAATTGTTAATTGTTTACCCCCTCTGTGTGGGGTCTTTCGTTCATGCTTTCTTTCAAACCTACTGTCTTGTGTAAGTGCCACTCACCAGTTGATTTAAAACACGCAGAGGTTATATATGAATTTGAAAAAATGAGTTGGCAATTTCTCTCGGGGTTAAGTCATCCCGGTGGTCATTGTGGTCAACAGGGAGACAAATGACCGTCCCTTCTCTCTGACAGCGGTCAGACACTTAATGATCCTTTAAAGCAGCAAAACAAGCTGATTTGCATGAGGCAGAGCACTAGCGACAGAGGGGTTATGGTCCCATTGCATGTCTGGGGTAAGTTAACGGGGGCGGGGGGAGCAACGGGTGCAGAAAAATGTGGGAGAATTTGGACACAGTAGTCTGGGACAAGATGATGTGGTCAGAATTTGTTCTTGACCATGAAAAATTTAAGAATATCCTAAAAAGTGAAATGGTCTGATTGGAGATCTGCCTGTCCAAAAATAAAATAAAATAAAATAAAATTAAAAAAAAAACAAAAAAAAACAAAAAACAGTAATAATTCAATCAAATAAAAAGTGTGTGGCCTTGAAATTAAAAAGAAGTTAACTCTTTAGTTGTAAGATTCTTAAGGTTGTGGTCATTCCAAACCTTAATTTTCTGTTTGGAAATTATAAAACCCAAGATATCATGTCATAAACGTATGAAGAAAAACATTTTTAGTTAAGATTTGAAGGAAGAAGACATGCAGCATGCTAAGAGCATTTTTACATCAATAGCACCATGATTTTAAACAAGATGAAAAGGGCAATTCATTGCTGTTGCTTATCAATTATACAATTGTCTTTACTTTAAAGTCTGCATTCCTTGCAGAATGAACAAATTGCTCGGCTCATCAGGGGCGTAGTAATGGCTGTCAGGAGCCTCATTACCAGATCAAAAGAGCAATTTAACGTGTAGTATTATGGAGATGTCCAGACAGTGTCTCTCAATGTGTCTACACAGGAACAGGACAACTTCTCGTGGACTTTGTCTTATAGATTTATTAACATAGCAGTAGGAGACTGCCCATTCTTCTATAGATGGAAAAGTTTTTGAAATTCATAACAAACATTTTTTCTTCTTGTAATTTTTTTGGCCAATTTATCATTATGTATAATTCTTGGCTGTTACCATTTTGTTAAATATAAAATTATTCTTGCTGAATAAACAGTGTTTGAAATGGTTGTAGAAACAAAACTGTTGTGTTATCCCATTGCTTCTTGACTCAGAAAAGAATAAAGTGTACTTTTACAGCTGTATGTCCAGTATTTGTTTACATATTACAATATGAACAAAGTTTGAGTGAACAGTCTGTTTGAGTATTTACTTATCAGTGAATCTTTTCCTTCCAGCTGACACAATTGATGACACACTGGTGGATGTTGGTAGCGGCAGTGGAAGTGGCAGTGGCGCAGGCATAGATGATGATGAGAATGGTTCAGGATACACCTTCCACGAAGACTCCACCACCAGACGTTACAACCACCACCACCATACCAACCCACCAACCAGCACCAGCAAGATGCCACCAACACCAGTGGAAAACAGACCAAGAGGAGGAGCCACTTCCAAGACAGGCTCCGTGGTGATATTGATGTTGCTGACCGCTGTGACAGCCTGGATACAGAGCAGTTTATGATGAAAAATGATTGTGTGCACATAGTGTGAATGGATTGTGTATTTATACCCATGGTGATACATGACATGTAAACAAAAACTGATGATGTCATCTGTAGATATGATCACAAACTGATGAGGTCATTGTTTTTTATCATCACCATGGCAACTGATCACGTGATGCCTACTATACAGCAGAAGTGTGCTGTGTCTTGCTGGAGTCTGTGATGTACACTAGAAATACAGGGAAAATGACAACATAAAAGATGTTACAAGAAAGCTTCATGATGGAAAGTGTGCGGTAGAAAACAAACAGCAATAAAAGCATACTGCTCTCTAAAGTGAACAAGAAGTGGAGGAGCTATAGAGGTCCACAGCATAATACGAGAAAATTAGTACACAACTTCAAAGAATGCAGAGACTGCATATCTCCATGGTGATAGATGTCTCCATGGAGATAGATGCCATGGCAACCAGTAGATGCCATGGTTACCAGAACTGATGTTGTAGTCCCAGGACTCCAAGCTGACCTTCAGGGCTCAGACAGCCAGGGTTGGCCCAGTTTTTAAGTTAATATTCATATTATTTATTGATTTAATCCTGTCACTTAGCATGCCAGAGGCGTGTGAGTTTGATGCGGTTTGATTACTTTAGGACAAAGTGGATTGGTTGATGCAGCATCTAGCGTCTGCGCGGGAGGATCCTGCACGTGGCTGTGCATGTGTGCGTGCGCGGCATAAAACTCTTGGTGGACAGAGCACTGCAATAGATATTGTGAAAAATATCTTGAACAACTTTTAAGTGTTCTGTACTTCACTGAAATGCAGTGTTCAGTGGCAGACTGAATGTAAAGCCTCATTTTATAGTAACGCACAGATTGGAGGAGTAAGACTAGTGCCTGAATGTGTACTCCATGTTGAGTGGTAGTATTTTGGTTCTTTTAAGCAGGGCCACCATTTTAAATATCTAGGCATTCAACCTTGGTGTCACAGGGAACAAAAGCCTTCTGTCACAGGGAACAAAGCTGTGAAGACATCACAGGGAACAGAACTGTGGGAAATACCACAGAGATATTTGTTACACAAGTTGTGATTGGTTTGTTATTGAGTGTCACAGGGAACAAGACCAGAAGATTGTCACAGGGAACAGGTTCACGGACAATCATGCTAAGAAAAGTGTGTCACATAGAAATAAATGAAGGCACTTGAAAATTTCATAGTTAGTATGATTATATTCTGTACAGGTGTTATCCAATATGTAGTTTTACTTTTATTTTGCCTTTATTTTATTTTTATTTCATTTTTTGAGAGACAAAACACAACTTATTCTTATTGATTAGATTTTTAGATTTAATTTCATGTAACTTCATCATACCTCGTGTGCGCCTCATTCAAGCTCTAAAAGACTATATTTACAAGTTTTAATATCACATTTTACAATTTACTTTTTAAAAAAAACTTGCCCTGTGTTCTAACTTCACATCCCCTGAGTTCAGGAATGGACTGGTCCAGTCTATGAAGTGAGCTGGTCCATTGTGACCAAGTGGGGGAGAGTGGAGTGATGTATTTTTGCACTCAGGGCGTTGTTTTTCAGCATCATAGAATAGAATCGAAAAAAGAAAATACTTGCCAACATTGGTTTTTATAGAGAAAAGTTTGATATACTAAAAAAGAAAAATCATGCTAACATAATCCTAAAGATTAGTAATATCTGATATCCAATCTCAACCAAAAAACATATTGATGTTATATAGCAAATCCTTTCACTATTATAGTCTCAAATCATGATATATATGTTAGATTATATGTTTTTGTTTTGTAGAACAATTTATGTTTCTGTAACAAAACACTGGCATTCTGTATTTCAAACATGGAGCTGGTTCAGCCGTTTTCTTTTACAGTCTATATTACTGCATTTATATTGAGAACACCTACTTCAGTATTTTTTTATACAAAAAATAGTGGGTAGGTGTCTAAAATGGGTTGAAAATAAGTATGTTTAAAATTGTGAATACATGAGAAAGATACTGAAGGTGAACGAGAGCAACTAAGGAAGAGCTCCCAGACTTTTATCAAACCTCTTTATCCATATTTGATAAACATTTGAAAGGTTTTGATTTTCAATTAGGTCACCTGGTCATTTTTGCAAGAAGTGGTGCAAAATGAAATTCTCAATCTTTTTGAATCTTTCTCATTCTGATGTGTGTGTGTGTGTGGTATTTCATAACACGGAACGTGTTACATTGATAGGGTATTATATATGTACATTAACTCATTAAAGAAATCCTATGAATATTGTATAATACATGTACAAGCAGACGACTCACTGTAATCATCATATTCACTCACATTTATGTCACAACATAGGGAGCATGTTACATTATTGTAGGAGAGAACACTGTTGTTGTTAATGTATTGTCATTTGTACAGTTAGGCCTCAATTTGGGCAGAATGCACTCGATTTTGTAACGATACACAAGTGACTGCACCCACGCTCTTCTTTTTTTTTTTGGTTACAAATGGGTCTTTTGTTCTGATTTCTAATCACCCAGTTTCATGAAAGATAATTTTGTAAACTTCTGGAATACAGCAGGGGAATGTCTTTGAGCAGATAGCACATGAAGGTGAAAAGCACCTTACAACATAAGTCACAAGATGAAAATTGTTTAAGTATTTGTCTGATTACCTTGGCAACAGGAACCCATAGCAACAGGGTCACATGGTTTTTGGTGTAAGAACTGAAAGTATACTATGATTAACTTTGATATTTCATTTGAAAGCTTAGTGCTATGGAAATGTGAAATGGATATATGTAGTCACCCCAAATCTGATTTTGAGCGTCTTAAGTCATCCACTAGAGACCATATTGCATAGAAACAAGAGGCAGTTTTCTCTTGTCTTACTTAAAAAGGTTTTTGGTACATGTAGTAACATTTCCGTCCTTTTAGGTCTACACTGTAGAGGATATCATGCTCTACTTTCATTACGTGGCATTAAAAAACTTGCATTCTTGGGACTTTGCTAAACCTGAGAATGGATCATGGGTTTTCTTAAAAAATGCTTTCTTGTTAGTTTTTTTTCTGTGTATATATCAGAGGACATTCTAGTGAGATTGAAGATGTCTTATCATCTTTGGAGAGAGGGAAGGGGAGGGTGAAAGCAGTAAGATACTAATAAATGTAGGACAACCTGTTCAAACACAAATTCTGGGAGCGTAAGTGTACAGCAAACGTCTTGTTTTGGTGACGTAGAGTACTGCTTAGATGCTCCAAGATTTAGGCAGATGGACCACATTTCAGTTGCTAAACATTTTTTCTTTCCGTTATTAAGACAGTTTCTTTGAGTTGACAGTAACAAAAGCTAGTGTAACAGAGTGTGCCGTGCTCTGAAACTGTAAGTTCATTTACGTGTATCTATATAGAAAATCTCAGATGTCTGTTACAGTATTAATTTGTACAGGGTAATTAGAAAAGTGTAATTATGCAGTAAAGGGAAGATTGAAATAAGTGCTTTTTGTCTCTGTTCCCCATTTGGTACAGACTCCCACTGTATACAGTCATCAGTCATTCATTAAAGTGTTATTTTATTGGAATAAAACTATGCAAAATGCAGTACCAGTCTTGTGGTTCTTTATTATACTCCACGTCCTGATCTCTTGATAATGTAATTTAAAAGTAAACTTAAAGGGATAATAACTCTTCGCGGGAGAAAAACATTGTGAACAACTCATAGAAATATAATATATTCTGTTTTACCACAAAAACGGCAGTTACAGCTATTTTTCTGATATCTGAGCTTGTCTTTAGACTACCTGACCTCCATTTATGGCTATACTCTGTTAAAATCTCTTAAGAGTCTTTAACAAAATAACCAAACTTTTTAGAAAAAAAAACAGGGACTAACTTTGAATGTAAAAATGGATTCATTTACCATTGGTAAGTATGGGAAAATTGTTGTTTACTCCAGGAAAAAAAATTTTTTTGGCCGAAACGAAGAGTTATTATCCCTTTAATACCTTCATCTTTTCTGGACATGTGCATTTAAATCGTTTGCTTTCTTCTGCTTCTGTAACCATGGTGACACTGACCGGTAGGCGTTGACCTGATGAATGCTACAGAAAAGATGAGAACTTAAAAGTTTAAGTGCAAAGAATAAAATGGGTATGTCTATATTAGTACAGAAACAAGTTTAATATCAAAACTTTATTGAAGAACAATTTGGGTCAATAATTGAAGTTTACAAACAAGTGTTCTAGTTTCCAATCCAGGAGGTCTGACAGTTCAATATAACAAATCTTTTATCAACTACAAAAATAGTTTGACATCATAATCTAGTAACACTGGTAAAATGATAAAACTCTTCACTTGAAAATAACTCTTTCTTCTAATTGAATACATTGTGCTACAGCTGCACTTACAATTGAAAGCAAAACAATTTTAAATACATTAATTTCAACAGATGATCAAAAATAACAATTAACAAATTGTACCACAATAGTGTCTCATGTTATTGACCTCACAAGAATGATGACATCATAGCTATGACATCACAAGTCAAGTGACATCACACCATGATATCAAAATGTGATGATGTCGCAACTTCATGATGTCACACCTAGACGTCCGTACATGCAGTAGGTGATATTACAAGATGGTGGATCGAGCAGGTTACAGATCGGGTTTTGCATCACACCTAGACGTTAGTACAGTAGGTGATGTTACAAGATGGCGGATTGGGCAGGTTATAGATAAAGTACGGCCCACAGTTACGCACAGTCACGGTGACGGGAAACTGACAACACTGGACAATGTGAGTGCACCCTTGGCCGATGTTTTCCTCCCCAGGGGAGGCAGGCTCCGTCCCACTGTACCAGGCGGGGTACGATGACCCACAGTGATTTACCGGGGGACACTGGAAGAAAGACAGAGATGACATAGAAATATGAAATTATAAAGAATTGATAACACTAGATGATGTCGATATAGCAGTGTATTAGCTCTCTCATTGTGAAAAACGCATAAAGTGGAATAAAGCCTATTTTTCTTCAATCAAAAACCAATACTTAATACTGGATAATACATTTAACAGAAATCACTTTCACCATTTAAAATGAAAATGGCATGGGGGATGTTACAGAAGCATTGAATATGATGGTATAAATGTTTAATTTAGTGAAAAAAATAATTTATTTATCATTAATTTTCATGTATTTTAACCAACTTTCATATCTGGGACCATATATTTCTGTCAACTCACAGTAGTGGCCAGTTTGGTGCCTGCAGGGGGTACAATACGGTACCACTGTGTCACCCAGTCACCACTGTCACAGTGAGAGGTGACCCCTGCACCCAGGGTGACACTCCGCCAACTGTCACTGATGTTTACATAGGACAGCTCGTCACAGAAATCTGAAATAGAAGTTATAGATAACATTTATGTCTGACTCACTAAATTTAAGTGATGAACAGTGATATTGATAAAAAAGTGAAATATCTCATTAAGAGTAGCTGTCTCCTAGAAGTCATGAATATCAACAACTTCACATTACTGTTTTACCTTTCAGTCAGGAAAATTAATTTTTTCTCTAAACAGTTATAAAAGATGACAACAGACTCAAGTCACAACGATAGTTATAACCACCAGATGTCAGTACAGTCAACTTACCCACACATGTGACTCCGTCTCCAGTGTAACCATAGTTACATCCACAGGAGAAGTTCCCCACTGTGTTGGTACAGGTGGCGTGTACGTCACAGCCGTCATTGTCCACAAGACACTCATTGATGTCTGGAATACAAGACACTTGTCAATCCTCAAGACAGATATGTGGACGTGCTTTAGGTTTTAGTTCAGTTACAAGTCAAAAGTTTATTTCATCAGTGTTGTTAGCAGATACAGTGGAACTTTGTACTGTAAAACCATATTGGCTGTGTAAGGTGTGATGTTAAGCCAGATGCTTCAAAGTATGTTAGGTGTTAGTATATTTGTGAAAATGCAGTAGCAATGTGCTAGATGTGACAGTGTGTTAGATGTGACAATGTTTTGGGTGTGTCCACCATGTCAGCATGCTGTACCTTCACAGGTGTATCCGTTCCCTGTGTAACCAGAGTTACAAGTACAGGTAAAGTTCCCTATGCTGTTGGTACAGTTGGCATTTGGATCACAGCTGTCATTGTAACTGATGCACTCATCAACGTCTACAAAATAAACATCACATTCACATTATAATTACAACAACACAGCTGTCATTGTAACTGGTGCAATTACAACTACACAGCTGTCATTGTAACTGGTGCAATTACAACTACACAGCTGTCATTGTAACTTGTGCACTCATCAATGTCTACAAAATAAACATCATAGGAGAATTTATGGATAATTTCATTCACTTTATAATTACAACTACATAGACATAGCTATGTATTTAACAAGGAACAAATATATGTCTGGAAAAAAATCCTTAAACTTACTTATCATATGAAAATTGAAGGTTAATCTCGTTTATATTATAAATACAACAACATGGAAATAACTTTGTGTATATTTGTGTGTGTGTGTGTAAATATATAAACATCTGGAAAAATATTCTGAACCAGACTTACACTGAAAATATCGACATCCAAACATCACCCCATCTCTACATACCTACACAACTGTATCCGTCCCCGAGAAAGCCGTTCAGACATGTACAAGTGAAACTGGCCAGTGTATTGGTACACAGTGCATGTTGGTGACAGCCACCATTGTCTGTCAGGCATTCATTGATGTCTGTATGAGAAGAAAGGAAAGACATTTTTATATTTTGATTCAGCATCTTTGTATTCAACAAGTCTTCATTCTAAATGGAAGACATTTTAGCAACTCAAAATGACTAAGCATCCATGTACAGGGTGACACAAAAAAAACGGTCATCACCTAATATCACCTTGAATAACTTTTGAAATAAATAATCAATTCCTATTATTTTTCAGATTTATCAAGAAAAATTAATGTTCTAAGAGTCTACCAAATTCGACCTTCGAGATCCCATGGACTACTGAGGAAAAGACATTTATAGTTGAGGCATATTTTCGGTTGAAGTCTATCCACGCAGCTCAATTGCAATTCAAAGAACGGTTCAGATGTCGAGAATTTCCTGTCCACTCGATGATCTACAGATGGGTCAACAAGTTCAGAACCCATGGGACTGTGCATAACCTCAATTGTAAAGACTCTAACAGACAATCACACTCTGGATGACTGAAATCATCAAGGACACCACACAACATTGCTGCAGTCAGAGACCCTGTTGTCCGCAGCCCAAGCAACTATAAATGTCTTTTCCTCAGTAGTCCATGGCATCTCGAAGGTTGAATTTGGTAGACTCTTAGAACATTAATTTTTCTTGATAAATCTGAAAAATAAAAGGAATTGATTATTTACTTCAAAAGTTATTCAAGTTTAGGTGATGACTGTTTTTTTTTGTGTCACCCTGTAGGACAGTGTGACAGTAGAAGTCAAAATGATAAAAAAATGATATCAAAATCCCCCAAGACTGAATTAAGATTGATGGATAACTACAGAGCAACAAATATTTATTTCAAATTTCCTCAAGAAAAATCATAACAGTTAACAATGACCATAACGAAGTCATAATGATTTTACCTTGACAAGTGAACCCGTCTCCAGTGTACCCAGTGTTACACGTGCAGACAAAACTGCCTACCGTATTTGTACATGTGGCACTGCTATCACAACCACCATCATTGACTGCACATTCATCTACATCTGTAATAATTAATACAGTATAGTTAATAAACATTGAAGAATTCTCTTATTACAATTAGCAGTGAAAATCAGTTTATTGTAGAACAAGGTTTCCAGTGCATTTCATCAGATGAAATTATGCCTAACAGACTGTTTTTGGTCCTAATTCAGACTGACTGTTGCTGTTCACAAATCTTCTGGAAAGATACAGCCTAGATGCTCTATATGTAGTAAAATATGTAGTGAAGTATATCATAAAGTGCTGCAAATAATTTCCCATGGTTTCGTATTGAGAGCATTTGCATTTTATACACTACAATGAATTATCAGTATTAAATGACAGTATTGACTATGTCTCAAAATGTATATCACTACTAACTGATCAACACATCATATGCTGACACATGGTTGGGAGCAGCCATTAATAACTCTTTTCTTCCTCAGGAGCGGATCCAGAGATATTTTCTGAGTCTTCCAAAATATCTTTGTTGATCCATCCTCATTTTTGACCGTCTTCCGACAGAAAAAGTTTAATATCCGTCTATGTAAACTTGAAAATCTGACTGTCTTCCGGAAGACCCAGAAGACGGCCTAAATCCGCCCCTGTTCCTACAGATCAAAGCACCAGACATACCTGTGCAATCATAGCCGTCACCATTGTAACCAATATTACAGGAGCAGGTTAACTCGTCACCAGTGTCGACGCACATAGCATTACTGTCACATGGGGTGTTGCCACGGTAACACTGACTGATGTCTGAAATATAGGGGGCAGGTCTATCAGTCCATTAGGCACCACGCAATTTTAGAGAAATTTTGAGGTCTACATAATGTAGTAAGAATTTCATATAATAAAAACATATCACAAACGCTTCTTTTCTATTAAAAAAAGAAAAAAAAGTGTCAACAACAAATTTAGTTAAACTTCCGAACAACAGCATGAAGACCAACAAAAATCTTAACTCACCCATGCAGGAAAATCCATCCCCGCTGTAGAACATGTTACAGGTACAGGTAAAGCTGCCAATGCTGTTGGTGCACACGGCGTTCTCGTCACACCCACCATCATCCACTGAACACTCATTTATATCTGGTGAAATATTAATATCAATCTCATATGGTGTAAAGTTCAGGGGGTGGAAAGTTTGCAGGGAAAAACAGAACTTCTATATAAACTGATAGACTAGGAATTCTTGATATATTTTTCTTACGTTAATGATCAACTCTACAATTTGAAATCCACAGATTCTTTCTTTATCCTGACCTGAACAGTTTAACATTTTCCTATTATATAGTAACAGAAGTTTTTATCTTAGTTCGATTTTACTCAATTTTTTTTCTATCCCCTGCCATATCTCTCAGAAATGTGTGACACTGGATGTCAATTTTTTTTATTTATTTGTCATAGTATTACTTCAAAATAAAACAATCTATGGAGCAATCCATCTTACAGGAAAATTAGAATAAAAACAATTAAATTGGCCCTTATAAAAAGCCAGTGAACTGGCCATGTTTATTAACCTTCACAGAAGAATCCATCCCCAGAAAACCCTTCCAGGCAAGAACAGGAAAAATTTCCAGCAGTGTTATTACATTCAGCAAACACATCACAGGTGCCATTAAACAGACATTCATTGATATCTGGAAGAAAAGGGAACATGTCGGTTGAGATTGTGTTAGGTGTGACAGTGTGTTAGTTGTGACAGTGTGTTAGGTGTGACAGTGTGTTAGGTGTGACAGTGTGTTAGGTATGACAGTGTGTTAGGTGTGACAGTGTGTTAGGTATGACAGTGTGTTAGGTGTGACAGTGTGTAAGGTGTGACAGTGTGTTAGGTGTGACAGTGTGTTAGGTGTGACAGTGTGTTAGTTGTGACAGTGTGTTAGATGTGAATGTGTTCTTAATTTTTACCATGTATGTGTTAGGTGTGACAGCATATTGGACATGGCAGTGCTATAGTAGTAATCAATTTGTATACTTTAACACTGTGGCCCGTATTACATACATTTAAGATAACTAAATCAATCTAGTTCAAAGTCCACTTCCCCCTTACCTTCACACCACACTCCGTCCCCAGTAAAGCCAGGATGACAGGTACAAGTAAAGTTCCCAGGTGTGTTAGTACAGTCAGCATCAGCAGAACAGCCACCATGGTCTACAGCACACTCGTTGATGTCTGGGGGAGAGTGATAAGAGAGTTACTGAAAAAGTCTTAAGTCTGAAACAATCTCCTGAGTCACATTATTACAATGGGAGAAACTTTTTTGGGAAATTCACACCGACAGATAAACTTCCCTCTCTCCTTTAAATTTTGTATTACAATCTGTTTATCATTTACTTTATCAAAAAAAAAAAAAAAAAAAAAAAAAAGCAATGCTTTTCTCAGATAAATCTGTTTTTAACACATCTACAAAACTGTCTTTACTCACAAGTTAATGTACAAGCTCTGTGCCACAATTTATGAAAATTCACCATTAATTTCACTTAGTCTTTATCTTGTGGAGTTATTAACTGGTCAAATCAATACAAAATAATGCAACATCAAATGTTAAATACTTTTGTTATTTGAAGAAAGAGAACATAAACTCCCCCCCTACCTTCACACACAAACCCGTCCCCAGCGTACCCAGGCAGGCAGGTACAGGTGAAGCTGCCATTATTGTTGGTACAGGTGGCGTCGTTGTCACAGCCGCCATTGTTGATAGCGCATTCATTGATGTCTGGAATACAGTTGATATTTGGGTGAAAGTTGTCTGTATCACATTCTGAGCCAATACATATATATATATATATATATATGTCACAGGGCATGGCACAACTTACATCAACACTATAATGCCTTATGTTTATCTATCGCTGTCTTTTTCAAATCATCAAGGAAACATACTAAAGGACATCATAAACTTCCACAAAAAATCAATGAAATGTCTACTCAGCTTACATGTACCTGTGTCCCTATCTCCCTACTTAAGGCATGTAATCACTACTCATACTTAAAGGGACAAAAAATAGGATTAAAAACGCCTTTTTAGTGCATGGATTGCTTCCTGTTTAACTTATCTGAGAACAATTGCTATGGGTAAAGCATAAAATGGCAGGTAAATGGCCTTAATCAATATCGAAAAAAAGAATCATATTCACCGTCCACTTTCGAACCCCGGGCGTCAGCCATCTTGACACAGTTTGAAATAACGCGGCTTCTCGACTCAGATACGAGATGTAAACAATGCAGCCAGCATGTCTCACTCGACTGCAAAGGTGAGCGTGGGCGAGAAGAAGAGGAATTGTTCACAGAATCTTTGCAGGTAAGCGAGTTACAGTCACTATATGTGCTTTAGAATGGGAAGGTGGCAGTGGAAATAAAAATATCTAGCAGTGGAAGTTTAAAAGCGTAGATAACTGCTACATTTCCTCGGATAACGCACTCACAGTCCCCAAACCATTCGCACTGCGTACTACTAGTTACATGAAGCGTGGTAGTGCACGTTGCCCCTGATAGTTCTGTAAACCAGGAGGAATACCGGCGTTTTCTGCTCAATGTGGTCATCTACCAGTACTTGCAGACGAACCTCACACCATATTCCCGCAGAGGAATCCCATGAGATATACAATGTAACTCGAGTACTGTACTAGTTGGGATAGAGGGTGTTCTTTGTACAACACGTAACTCATTTGTAAATTTATTAATATTGTGAGATAAGATAAGATAAGAGTTTATTTAGCCAATAATAAAAATCGGAAATCATTTTATTTTTGGAGCAATATAAAGAGTAAAATAATAGAATAATACAATAAATAAATAAATAAATATGAANTTACGTCATCATTGCCCTCATAGATGTGCACAGCGAGCGTACGTCTTTTAAATCTATTTATGATATCATAATTAGTACTGTTAGTGCTCGTTTTGATGAAATCTGTATGTACATAAAATGCTGAGTCAGCATATTTAAGAAAGCGTCTCATCCGGGTACTTGTTAATTTTGGAGTTGCCCCCCGATCCAAAATTGACAAACACCTAAGGGTCATTCATCGTGGAAAGTTTCATGCTTTTATCAACTTTTGCACAATTCTGGATATAATTTGGACTTAACCGCCTGACTAAATAGGAAAAACTATTTTAGGAAATTGACACTGACAGATAAACAAACTCTCTTCTTTCCTTTGTATTGCAACCCCTGTTCATCATTACCTTTATTAAAATGCAATACTATCATCACTGTTTAAAACATTTCTACAAAACTGTCTTTTCTCACAAGTTGATGTACAAGTTCTGTATCGCAATTTACTGAAATACACCATCAATTTCACTTAGTCCTTATCTTGTGGAATTATTCATTGGTCAAACCAAGTAATGCTACATCATCAAATGCTTTGGTTATTTTAAGAAAGAGAACATTAAACTCCACGCCTACCTTCACACATAAACCCATCCCCAGCGTACCCAGGCAGGCAGGTACAGGCGAAGCTGCCATTATTGTTGCTACAGGTGGCGTCTTTGTCACAGCCGCCATTGTTGATAGCGCATTCATCGATGTCTGAAATACAGTTGATATTTGCTGGGGTAGTGCTAACGCTCGACAATTTAGCCAAATGCTAAAATTGACTTAAAAAGGCTGAACAAAATAGGGCTGATTTGACTTCAAATTTAAAGCACATGGAGAAAAGAGTCATGAAAAAATAGTGATTTGGCTAAGTGAAAAAATTTGCTAGAGCTACCCCAGATTTGGATGATAGTAGTCCTTATCACATTCTGGGCAAATATATATATATGTACATATGTCGAAGGGCATGGCACAGCTTACATCAACACTATAATGCCTTCTGTTTATCTATCGCTGTTTTTTTCAAATCATCAAGGAAACATACTAAAGGACATCATAAACTTCCACAAAAAATCAATGAAATGTCTACTCAGCTTACATGTACTTGTGTCCCTATCTCCCTACTTAAGGCATGTAATCACTACTCATACTTAAGATGCCTGTGACTGTCAATTTTGTGCTACCTTCACAATTATACCCGTCTCCGGAGTATCCAGTGTGACATACACAGGAGTGGTTGCTAACCACATTAATACACTCTGCGTCCACGTGACAGCCTCCGTGGTTCACCAAACACTCATTGATGTCTGGAGAGGAGAAAATACTGGCATGGTTTATACATGATTATACCTGGTTATGACTTAAAGGGTTTTATAGAAAATAATCATCTATGATTGTTTTAAATGGAATGATTTTGTAAAGTAAAACATCATCCATTTTTTTAATGGTGGCAGTGTTACATGTAAAAGTGTGTCAGATGTGAGGATGTGTTTGATGAGACAGAGTGCAGCATTGTATCAGATGTGATAGTGTAAAAGCCAAGATTTTCAGTTAGGTGTTTATATAATGTTAGATTTGACAGTGTTATTACTGTGAGCATTTGTTAACTGTTACAATGTGTTGGGTATGACAGTGTGTAGCAAGTATAACAGTGTTAGTTGTGACAGTGTGTTAGATGTGACAGTGTGTTATATATGACAGTGTGTTAACTGTGACAGTGTGTTAGATGTGACAGTGCGTTAGATGTGACATTGTGTTAGGTGTGACAGTGTGTTAGATGTAACATTGTGTTGGTTGTGACAGTATATTCTACCTACCAATACAAGCAAACCCATCTCCAGTATAACCAGTTTTACATGTACAGGTGAAGTCCTCCCCACTGCCAACACACTGAGCATTGCTGTCTATACAGTTACTGCTCCCTATCACACATTCTTCTATATCTGGAACACAATATATAGCTGTATATAGAAATGTCTATACAGTTACTGTTCCCTATCACACATTCTTCTATATCTGGAACACAATACAGTGGTACACAGAAAGGTCCTTTCAAGTCTGTCTTCTCATTTGTAGCAAAATTTCCCCTCCACTAAACATTTTGTTTATATAAAATTGGACATAAATTGACATACAGGTAAATTTCATTTCAAATTCAATGGAATATATTGTTGTGATCAGTGGTGTAAAAAGTTAAGGTACAAAATGAGTTGCTGCTTTGTTGTGTTTCACAAACTTTTGTGGGTACTGACGTTGTTCTCATTTCAAATTAAGCTTGACCCACCTATTAGTCAACTTTAGAACATATTTGTAATCTCTTCTTTTAAAGGTCAAATTTACATCCAATTTTAATCACATTCCCATGTATATATACTTACAGTTGTATAGTTCAACTCTTAAGCACTGAACCATTTCTTATTTCTAATTAAGCTCAACTTATAGTTATCAATCAACTTTAGACCATATTTGTAATCTTTTCTGATGAACGTCATATATTTGTCCAATTTTCAATACAATATTCCCATGTATATAGTACTTACAGTTAGCACAGGAGCGGTGCACATACCCAGTCCCAATAGCACAGTAAAACCTGGGTGGACAGGTCACTGGCTCCACACCATCAATACAATAGTGTCCCACTGGGCACACCTCACATTTCACTGTCCCGTTACTGGACGCATAGTGCCCAATGGGACACGGGATGGGGGTGACCGTCCCAGCCTCGGGACAATAGTGTCCCGGGGGGCAAATATCCCCAATCAGGACCCCTTCACTTGGCTTGGCTGAGGTGGCTCGGGACAGGCAGAAGTAGCCTGGGTCACACTGACCGGAGGGGTCACCCAGCCCAGGCTGGTCACAGTAATGACCCCCAGGGCAGGGCTGGCAGGTCTCTGGGGTGGACTGACCAGTGGTGTTAGACCAGTAGCCCAGGGGACATGGGACTGGGAATGGGGTGCCTCTTGGACAGTAGTGACCTCTAGGGCAGATCATCCCCTTGCTGCCATCTGTTGGTGTTGGAGAGATGGCGCCTGATTTACACCAGAAACCTTCACTGCATTCACCTTGAAAATGGGAGGGAGGTTAAATGTTTTAATTTTAATTTGAAAATATTACAATCAATATAAGTTGATAACTGACAAATAGCATATTAGATAATCTGTGATGCTTATTTTTCTTCTCAAATATATCAGCAGAACCTTTCCTTGTCAAAGTGGTGTGTTATTCATAAAAAATTCAAACAAAGCCCTCCAAAAATGGTCATATTCCTAATTTCCATTATTTCCTTCCCCGAAGTTCCACTGTGATAAGGTCAGAGAGGTATGAATTCTGTCCGCCATATTTACCTTCTGTATCATTCCTTCCCAGAGTTCCACAGTACCTGCCTGGGTCACATGACAGGCACTGGTCTGCCGCCTCCAGGTTAGGATTTTGGCTGTATGTCCCCAGAGGACATGGGTACTGCGTACTCCACGCAGTGCCATTAACACAGTAGTAACCTACTGGACAGGACGAGTTGATAATACTGGTCACTGGACCATAGGTGGCATCACAGTAATAGCCTGGAACAAGACAAGCTTTTGGTAATGTACGTTTAAATTTAAATCTGGACAAGATTGAAAAATGCCAAAGGGGTGACCGCAGGTTTGACGATATTTAAAACTAGCCAAATCTTTGTTCAAACCAGCACTGTAAGATCATGCATGCAGAAAGAGCCTATTAAGCTGACATCAACATAAAATTTAAGTACCCATTGAACCACCCTAGTAATAAGAAGACGTTTCATCCGTGATATCATCTGATCAACCCCAAGTCAGTCCAGCTGTGACCCCCCCTCCCCCCACTGCCCCCTACCTGCTCTACATAGCTGACAGGTGCCCTGTCCATACATATCCTGGTAGTGACCACTAGGACACTCCTGCTATAACCCCCCACTACCCCCTACCTGCTCTACATAGCTGACAGGTGCCCTGTCCATACATATCCTGGTAGTGACCACTAGGACACTCCTGCT